TAACAGTGGTATGACCTCGCCTGCATCAGTTAACACCTCTGGTTCACATTCTTTTGCTTATAATGTTCATTTTTTACAAGTAAAATATTTTATGGGTGGGTTAATACAATCTTACATGTCTGAAACTTTGTCTCTTTTGTTAAAAATTACAGATGTTTATTGAGCTCTTACTTCATAGCAGGTTCTATGATAAGTGCATTGCATAGTATTTAACCTCCCCATGAGATTGGGACCATTTTGTGAAGGAGAGAATGGCGGCTTTGAGACCAGAAGTCAGTTGCTCAAGCTAGTAGACAGCACAGCTGAGATTATACTCATGTCTGCCCAGCTCGACACACGTTAATCATAATGCTGTGCTCCTTAGACTTGGCACATACTATAAAAGGGTTTTTAATCTTTCTTAATTTGGGATATGTTTTACTTTCTACAGGGTGATTTCTCTCTTCCATTCTTATGCATTGTGTATTTTTTAAAATTTTAAATTATTTTTTAATGCTTTCTGTATTTTCTAAAGCCAGAGGAATTGAAAGAACTTTTGTGCTACCATGTGTTTCATGTTTAAGCAATCCCAGACCACTTGGAAACCCACTTCATTTTGGAAGCCTGATGGACTAATCTAGTTTTCAATTCTTTTCATTGTCATACTTTTTCTGTGCTCTCCTTGTGTAAGGATGGCAGAAATGTTGTTGAGTTGTTAAGCATTTGCTTATAGGAAAGAACCTTGGTTTAGGAAACCGGGTTCTAGTTCTGCCTCTGAAGTTTACTCTAAGATACTGTTAGAGTAACTGTACCTAGTAACTCTTAATACTGCTTTACCGCATTAACTTACTGTAAGTAAAATGTCAAATATGTGAAAATCATTTCACACAGAATTTCTCTGTGTGTCAGAAATCATAATAGCTGCAGTGGACAGTTGGAACCAGAACTAAAGCAAAATAATTTTTGGTTTATTGTTGTTGTATAAGAACATGCTTAAGGTAATTAGAATTTGGACTTCTTGAAATACTTTTTATGTCCTTTGGCTTGGCCTAAGCAAAGTGCCAAACAAGGACTACTGCAGATAGATGATCAAATTGCTGTCTGAATTATCTTGTAGTGACAGGTAAATTCTTAAAAGTCTATATTACATTCATTAATTAGGTCTAAATTAGAGAATGTTTTGCTGTCTGAGCTTTGTAGGAGGAGACAAAAGAACGGGAAAGAAAGCTGGATTAGAAGAGCTAGCGTATTATAGTGGAGGGGAAGAGGAAAGACTTTTATCGGAAACAAGGCCGAATGGAGTCTTTCAGAAACATCTTGAGAATTGACTTATGGGTAAATTGTATTATTAGAGTCAGCTGTGGAGGGTAGTCTGTGCTTTTGCCAGGTTGAAAATGCCATGCTCTTTGAACTGGGCCACGTGCAACTTAAAGATTTAAGTGAGTTGGCTCTGCTCGGTCTGCAACACAGTGAACGAGGCAGAAGATGGGAACGAGGCAGAAGATGGCTTGGGGGGTCACTCACAGACATCTGAAAGTACAGAATAATTTGTTGAGGAGGTGTGTGTGTGTGTGCGCGTGCGCGCGTGTGTGTTGGTGGCCATTCTGGTAAACTCTTTAGCCTTTAATGGCCATTGTTTCACTCAGCATTCTTAGCATCTCCCAGGGTTCATTCATTCAGGCACCACCCTCAACAAATGTTGCGTTATCCATTTACTTTTTTAAACAACCTTTAAAATATTTGTATTTGAAATGGGAACTTTATATATCTGTTGAAATTTTGGGTTTGTTGTGCAGTAGTTTTTCCTAATGTAGATTGAGCTAAGTATGTAAAATTAGCCTAATACCTGTCCATTTGTGGTCCACCTAAAATTATCTTGAGAAACACTCTCTTCATCTCATTTTAACTCTTTTCTTTAGAGAGTGGGTCTACAGAATGCCAGGGGAGAGTTTAAAGGGGAAACCCAAAGACTGGAAATAGGAGCTTAAGGGTGGAATTTTCTAGATAGACTTAAGATGATAGAAGTGAATTAGGTTTCCATGTAGGTTATCAGCCTAAAGCTAGTTTGGGTTAGACTTTATTAAGTTTAATTTCTTTCTTTCAAAGAAAAAACCCAATAGTTTTTAGGCTGCAGGAGTTTCTGGGCCTTGTGAGTGTCTCTCTCTGTTAGTTTCCTAGCAGACTTTTTTTTTTTTTTCATGAAACATTCTAAACTTGGGTTGGCTTCAAATAAGAGGGAATAAGGTTTCTCCTTGTTGATTTTAGCGATGATATCTACTCCGCCAGCTCCTAAGCCCAGGAGTTAGTTTAGTTCAGCCAGAGTTTATGAGCTGCCTTTTCTGTGTCAGGCACAGTGCTGAGCCCTGTGATGCAAAGAGGAAGTTCTGGTCCTGCCTTCGGTGAGGCACAGCATATAAACAGCCACAACAACCCAGTGATACAGCCACGTGTCGGATCCAGGAGAAGTGCACTCCTCGGGTAGAGCAGCAGAGACCTTGACAGCCGGGAGAGCACTGGGGGCTGGGCACAAGGAGTGTGACATAAGGGAGGCAGCACGGTCGGTGCCACCGTGAATGCTGTGGTTTTTCCTCCCCAGGCAGTCTTCATCGACGATCATTCTGCAGAATTTCTGTGGGTTCTGCGTTGGCCCACATGGAATTCCAACAAGAATTGATGTTTTACATGTGTGGTAACGCACAGCCTTGCTGCTCTGACACCCTCACATGAATTTGAAGTAATAACGAGGGAACCTTCAATAACAGTTGGCATATTGAGATGGCACCGTTCCCAAAACAACATCTCAATGAGGTTCTGTGCTTCAGAAGCAACTCTTCTTGTTAAATATACTCAGGCACGTCCTACCCAACGGGAAGCAATGTGGCAGAAGTGGCTGGGCTCATAGTGTGAGTCCCAGGTGTGAGGGACTGTCTGGAGCAGCCTTGACTGTCTCAGAGACTGGACCTGGGTAGGAGGATGATATGCATAAAATAAACCAGCCTTAAGCACCTTTAAGGAATATTTGTACAGAATCTGAAATAGAGAATTTCTAATCTCCACATAGCTTCTTAGCCTCCCTTATAACCCAGACCACCCCCTACCCACCTAGAACTTGAGCTACACCTTCGAAAACCAACAGTGGACAGATCTTCAATTCTATGCACATAGGGGTCAGTTAAAGGAGAAACAACCTATCCTCAAGCTGGGTACCTAAAACCCCCCGGTGTTAATTATATGGATGGCTGCATTCAATCTTAGATTTTGGGGGCTTTAATATATACAGGCTATTGAAAAATTGTTAGCACGATTGTTCTCCGAAAAGAGCAAGAAAAAAACCTGGAACTTGGCGGGGGGGGGAGGGGACAGTGGGGACTGAGCATTACTTGAGACCTAGCCACATTTCTGTATTGCCAGAGACCACACCCCTTCTCAGACACAGCTACAAAAGATTATTTCTTTTGGCCAGGTCTCTGACCTTGAAGGATCCAGCCAGCCGCCTTGAAGCTTTGGGTGCTAGACATAATATGGGCAGTCCAAGAGTTATTTCTATTTTATATTATTTAGCATGGCTATACTGATTTTTTTTTTTATTCACCACAAAGTCTTCTCCTGAAGTAAATCTAAAATGCTTTACCAAACCAGTGCCGTTGACTTCATATATTGTATGCATAGTATAAGGCACATTCAGAAATATAAAGAATTCTAGGGTTTATGGCAGCATCCAGAAGTGATGCTTTTCTCTTGGAGATTCAGCACGTTGAGTCTGGATTGACTTCAATGTGTGTTAAATCCTTGGTTCTCTTTCTTCTGAATGTGATGAGACAGTTTCTCCTTGGAAAAATCATTTGTGTTCAGCTGCTTTTTCTCCATCAGTTTTTCTCTTTAATAATTGAAAACTACTGTTCATTATTTACATAAAACTGTCTTTTACTGGTCTGCTTTCTATAACCTTTCCCCTCTGAAGAATTTTAAGAATTCCCTGACTTTCCTCTAGGGGATTTAATGCGTGCTTTATCCCAGATGTGAGACATAGACTAGGACTAGGCTGAGGGGTTTTTTTGGTTGTTTTTTTTTTTTTTAATGTTCCTACATGTGAAAGACATTCTTTTAACCTGTGAGCAAAGCTGCCACCGAAAGAAAGGACTTTTAAGAAAGTTAAGTAGTTAAGAAAATATGTGAGCTTGGTTTAAATGTCTGACTTACTGAATGACACCAAAATCCCATATGCAAAATGAAAAAGTAGACAGTCATTTCAGATAATAAGGGGAAAATGCACACGTGTTATTTTAGCCTTTTGATTCTGGGATTTGATTTTCTGAATGAAGGCGTGTCCGTTTCTAGTCCCAGCAGGCCCGGTGCCTGGTCTCCCCCTGCATGCTTGCTGATGTTGGCCCCGGGGATGCACGGGCCTGGCAGATGTTTTCCCTGCTTTTGTCTTCTCTGTCCCCACCTTCTGCTGACACAAAGAGGATATTTAGCCTTACTCATAATATTGCGTCTGCTTACATTCTTACAGCTGTATTGATCCTAATCCACGGTTTAGAGTGTAGAACGTTAGGAAGCAGGCAGAGGTTGGAGGGAAGCAGACCCTGTTAAGAAAGACAGGATCTTCTATTTTTTCCTAATGTCTATTCAGATTCCCAGATGACATTTCACCACCAGCTTTTGGTTATAATGGTTTTCATATTAGTGGCTAAAGACGAACCATAAAATCTAAACCGATTATGTGCTAAAACATGAGAAGAATGCCTGTTTGCACAGATGTGATACTGTTACCCCAAGTCCACAGTTGTTTTCCACAGTGTATACGTGCCTGACGAACGATGCCTAATTAATTAACTAATTGACTAATTTTAAATGATTAGGTTTCAGTAAGTTTCTATTTCAAATGTTTTATTAACATAATCTAAAGTCATACGTTTTATTTTTTTAATAATTGGGCCTTTTCCTAGTAAGTGAGGTCGTTTCCTACCATAATGTTTGCTTGGTTAACGTATCTTTCTTTTCCTTTTTTCCTCCTGTAGTATCTTTCGAAGATGGTTTGGCTGCCTTGGCGATTTGGAGATCTGATGCCACGATGAGGACTCACACACGGGGGGCTCCCAGTGTGTTTTTCATATCTTTACTTTGCTTTGTGTCAGCCTACGTCACTGACGAGAACCTGGAAGTCATGATTCCCTTCACCAATGCCAACTACGACAGCCACCCGATGCTGTACTTCTCCAGGGCGGAGGTGGCAGAGCTGCAGCTCAGGGCCACCAGCTCCCACGAGCACATTGCCGCCCGGCTCACCGAGGCCGTGCACACCATGCTGTCCAGCCCCTTGGAGTACCTGCCTCCCTGGGACCCCAAGGACTTCAGCGCCCGCTGGAATGAGATCTACGGCAACAACTTGGGTGCCTTGGCGATGTTCTGTGTGCTGTATCCAGAGAACATTGAAGCCCGAGACATGGCCAAAGACTACATGGAGAGGATGGCAGCTCAGCCTAGTTGGTAGATTTTTGTCTTTTTCTTCTTACTGTATTAACTCTGAAATTTAAAGAAACAAACTTATACTCAGATGGAATCTGGAGGCCACATTTTCACATACGTGTGTGTGTGAGTGTGTGAGTGAAGAGAGGACTTGTTATTTGTGTTGCCAGTGGCTTATAAAACATCCAGTTTCAGAAGACCTAGTAACGTCCATGTTTAAAGTTAGAAGGAAAATATTTAGATACAACCTAACCAAAGAAAAAATAATTCATTGAATTGAGTAAACAGTACCATTTTGATTGTAGAGAATTTTTTTAACTCGTTCGAAAAATGCTGTCATCTGGCCGTAGGTTCTGATTGACATCCCAAGTGGTTAAAACCTTTATTCAGCAAAAAATATCAGCCAATTAAAATTTATTTTTATGATAAAATTTGTTTTTATGATAATTAGGAGCTAAAAGTAAATGCGATGGGATGAACTTGTAGTTTGTAAACAACATCTTATCTAATTGCCAGCAAATTATCCAAACCTGTAGAAAAACCAATGTTGTTGTGTAGTTGTGTGAGGAATTCTTATTATGTAATAATTTACTTTCAGAAGTTCAAGATTTGAGGACAAACTTCCTCTCTTTTTGATTAGTTTAACTTTATTTTATTTGTTTATAATTAATGTGTCTACTTGCTTCCAAAAAGATAAGGATGAATAGATTAAATTAGAGATTTAATGGGTATTCTTACTTAAATTATGTTTTAGTACATAGTCACAGTTCACTTGCACTAAAAAAAATACAAACTATATGAATTATCCTTTTAAAATTATATAAACTGCTACTTGTCATAGGCTGGAGAGAGCTCATTGTTAATGCTTAGAAAGATCAATGAATGTATTTAATGCCGGGATGAATTATATCTCACATGAACTACATCTTACATTTCATAGGGGTGAGGAATAGCAGTTGGCAAGCTTCCTGAGTTTTGCCAATAGGGTAAAGAAATTTAATTCTTTCTAAAGTTCTGCCAATATAGTAAAGACTGTTTGCTTATAGAGTTTGAAGGATTTTCTAGAATTTCTTAATGAGAAAGATTATGGAAGAGTTGGCATTGAATTCATATCAGAGCTGATTTTTAAGGCTTCTTAGTTGGATATATGTAGTCATTCCAAAGCTTTTATAATATTTTAGATTGAAAAGAATCTTTTCAAAAATTACATTTCATAACTGAGCCATGTATGCAGTAGTTTCTGACTTGGGCATTAATGAACTATCTTACTCTACTGACACCAAGAAAGAAAATAAAAGATGTATGAAAATTTGTTTGATATTTGAACTACAAGATTATATTATCATGTTATAATTACTTGACATTGTGTAATTAGTTGAAAATGGCAAGCATATTTATTTAGGGAAAAAAACCTTTGTTTTCTTATAAGTGTACTTTTTTTAAAAGCTCCTACTACCCTGCTCTTTTTTTGATACATAGTGAAATTTGACAGATTAAGATACTGATGGAAATATTCCAGAGAGATAGTTAATGTAAAAAGCCATTTATTTGACCTTATAAAATAGTAGCTGACTGAGAAGTACCATATATTTTTTTTTTCTTTCATTTATCTTCCGATAGAGTGGGAGGGAGAGAGAGAGAAAGAAAGAGAGAAGCATCGATGTGAGAGAGTCACATCGAGTGGTTGCCACCCACACGACCCCAACCAGGGCTGGGGACAAACTGCAACCTAGATACATGCCCTTAGCGGGAACCGAACCCGGGACTCTCTGGTCTACGGGCTGACGCTCTAACCGCTGAGCCAAACCGGCCTGGGCGAGAAGTACCATATTTTTAATGGAGATTTTTTTTAGCATGAATGTAATAACATTAAGAGAATTGCATGACTAACGTAGTTTTGTTTATTATAATATAAATATTCAGGCATATAAATATCAGCTTAATGCTATTTGAAAAGATTAGACTCCTATCATAAAAAGAGAATAAATGACTTTATATAAAAATGACAAGTTTTACAGAGTTTCTGCAGGTTTTGATTTACTGGTTATTGGAGATATGTAGAAATTTACTAGAGAACTAGTACTTTATTCATGGCAATTATTATATAAATGGATATAGCTGTATGCCATTATCCAGCAATGCATAAACCAGTCTGTGACTTAGTAGAGCTGAACAATTGATTTCTTTTGCTTGACCTAGAAGCTGAAGGTCAGAAATTGAGAATTTACCTTTACATCCAGTTTCTTGCTCTGGAAGTGATCCTAGCATAAAATTTTGAGCTACTGGAACATTTTGTCTTAGCAAGTACTACTACCAGGCTGTGCTTTTTAATGATTTTGTGGAAATTTTAACTTTTTGAAAGCTACCATACCTCATCCCTAGACTCTTACATTTTCATTTAAATTTGTAGTTGAACATAATCACTTTTTGACAACTTAAGACACTGTTAAATGTTTTTATAGTTCAACTATCTCTGTTTAAATCAACTAATTCATATGTTCCCACTATGCATACAGAAGTATATTGTGGGCATGGATACTGTTTTAGGATAATTCATCTATATTTGGTTTCGGGGGTGAGGAGGAAGGCTAGCTCTTATTTATAAAGGATCAATAATCAATAATTCATACTTTTGAATTTTTTTGAAAAGCTTTGTACAATGGCTTCATCAGACTGAATACATTTGCCAGTTTCCTTGAAGAACAGTTCTACTATTTTGAAAACCAATAACCAAATTGTGTTCTTGGATTATTTAATCAACAAACATTTCTTGAGCATCTGTTGTATGTCATAAACTGTGCTGGGTGCTGGGCATTCAACGATGAAGCAATAGCCCAATAACTTTACAATTTGCACCTAGGCAAAGGGGTGCAAACTTGGGGTATTTGAAACCTAAGCTAGGGCTATGTCCTCTTCTGAGAAATGAGTGTTTCTTCGTGATGTGCCCAGCAGTGTGTATCATGCAGCACCCCAGTGTGGTAAGGTGTCCCTCTGGAGTCACACCACCTGGATTGGAATCCCAGCTCCCCCCTCTTCAGCTGCGTTACTTCAGACTAGTTTACTTAATTTGTCTGAGCCTTAGCCTTCTGATCTTTAGAGCGACAGTAACAGCAGTATCTACCTCATAGGGTTGTTAGGATTAAATGAGATAATATAGAGTACTTAGCACAGTTTCTTCACATAATAAGCCTTCAATAAATTAGAATAATGACAATAATGATAATTATTGTTACTGTTATTTACTTAGCACTAGACCCTGTTTGGTTTATGACTGTAAGAAAATAATATTGGGATTTATTTGGAGATTTTACTCATTTTAGTTGAGATTACTCTCAAAACTAGAACATCTGTTTAACTTATAAAATTTTCCCTTTGGCTTTGTTCCATGTAAACTTTCAGCAGGGATCCCCCTGAGCCCTTCTTGCATCTAAGAGTCTGATGCTAACGCCAAAGAAGAAGGCTAGGGGAAAGTACCAGTGATGTGTCTTTTGTCTGGTATTAGAAAGAAGTATATCTGAGAAAAGAATGAATACAGATTTAATAATGTAGTTCATTTCGTTTGAGCATTTTGTAAATAAAGATGTGAAAGACCACATCTATAGATTCACTTGTTTATGAATCTTGGGCCATTGTAAAAGAAGAGTTAAGTGGAAAATATTATCTAATTCTACTGATCTTGTCATGTGTGCACCTGAGACAATGTACCACAAGGTTGAAATGAAATCTGATAGCTTGATAGTGGTGGTGGTGACAATGTGCTGTGTCTGCCTCTGCAGAGATGCCCACATCCTGTCGCAGAAGCTCTTTCTCCTTTGTGCTCCCTTCTGCTAATGCTCATGTGTTCTTCATGACAATAAAAGTAACTGAGTAATTTAAACTTGCTCTTAACTTCTAAAAATCAAATTTTAAAAGATATTTTAACCTATATGTTTAAATAGGTTAAATAATGTCTTCAACAACGAATAATGTCTTTGACTTTTGAATTAAGCTTTTTTCCCTTATGGATCTCATCTTCCAAATGAGAGCTGGGATTTGGGTGGCAGCTGGCTCTGCGTTAGGTAAAAGTGTGACTAGAATTTAATATGCAACCACTTTAAGTACACTTAATGAGCTGAAAATATAGAGCTAAGGCTGGTAACAATTGAAAATGCATTTTATTGCACTTAAAATGAGTACTTTTTTTTTTTTTTTATCCTCACCCAAGGACATTTTTGCATTTATCTTCAGATAGAATGGGAGGGAGAAAGGAGGGAAGAGAGAGAGAAATATCAATGTGAGAGAGACACATCAACTGGTTGCCACCCACACAACCCCGGGGCGGGGACAAACTGCAACCGAGATATGTGCCCTTAGCGGGAACCGAACCGGGGTCTCTCTGGTGTGCGAGCCAGCGCTCTAACTGCTGAGCCAGACTGGCCAGGGCTGAATTCATTTTTTACATAATATCACCTAGTCACTAGAACAAGTTCTGTTCTAGTGGGGCACTTGGGGGTATTCTCATTTATAAATGGTTGTTTTGTGCATTCAGTTCTGATACAGTTAAGAAAAAGAGACAATTGAACTCTAATTAAATAAAAATCTTTCATCATTTTTTCCCTCAAGACCTTCAACTTTAAGGAAGGAAAATAATAAAAACACTTCTTAGTAGAGATTTATTTAAAAGGATGTCCATAAAGTGAGTTTCTAGGAAGAGTTTTTGGAGTCAACACATATTACTCCACTTTCCTAAAATTTTGATAACATTTATGTAAGTTTTCATTTACTTATTCTACTGTGCCTTCCCCTCAGAAGATTAAGAAAACATAAAATGCAAGATTCAAATTAGAAGTAGCCGGGAAAGAAAAGAGGGCAGAGGAAGGTGAGGGACATCAGCTGGACTGGGAATGAGACAGCTGCTGAAATGTGTCTTACATACCATGCGTGGGTCACAAGTGAGCCCTGAGTTCTTTTAGCAGCAGAGAAAGCTGACTCAGTTAGTTTTCAGTATACAGTGTCTGTGGGATTAAAAACAGATCAGTAAC